GTGAAACATTTCTCAGGCATCAGAAGATAAAAAAAAAATAAAAATCAAACAATAAAAGCCCAACAGCCTGCCTGTTTAAAATCTCCTGCTTAAGAGTAATCATTAATCTCATCAAAGAAGATTAAAGTCGCATGCTACACAGAAGTATCTTTAAATATCCGTACAGCACATCAAGTTCAGAAGTTTAAAAAAAAAAAAAAAGTTTAGTTCAAAATAATACTGGCTCTAATGCATCTAATGCAAAGAAAAAAAATCTTTTTTCTTTGTAGGATGAGGAAAAAACCCCAAATCTCAAAAAATGCCCCATGCTCCCATCTTACAGACAGTCTCTATATCCATCATCTCAACAAAAGCACGGGTTTCCTTTAGTCTGCTTTTGTTTATCTGACAGCAGAACGTCTCCAAAGCTGGCTCTGGGCTTAGTCTGAGGTAATTAATGCCTACCACCTACCCTCACCCTCAAGAATTTAGCAGCAAGTTTAGGAGCTGCACCTCTTCCCCTGCAAACAATAACACAAACTGTGTCTCAGGGGCCTATTGCTTATGCTGGGTCCATCAAGCCAAGAAATTTAAAGTGGGTGCTTCTGCACCAGCCTTTTCTAATCACTAAACAGAAATTCTGGGACTCCTAAATGTAGAACCTGGTTTATGGACTTCTAAAACACAGGAAATTCTAGAGGAGTAGATTTTTCAAATATCACATTTTTGAGGAAAATCTTGCCTTGTACTTGGCAGTTATGTGCAGTGTCTAAAAACTAAACCCATGATGTAGTGTCATTTACCACAAGTTATTGTAACCTCACAAGGAACTTTACCATGCAATGCAATGGAATGGAAACCTATCTTCATCTAAGCAGAAAGAAAAGTAATTTGTAAAAAGCATTTGTAAGTATAAAACTGATCCAATTTCCTTTGTTATGCTATAATTGACACCATAAATAACTCAGAGAGTTGAAAAACTAAAAGCCAAGGAAGGGAATTTTCTTAAATCGTGAAGTTAAAGTTATTTTATTCTGTTCTATTTCACAAAAACTTACGTACACATGTTCTCCTTCTGTCAGAGCTGACAGTGGTTCTTACAGTCTAATACTTTTTTAGTACAGGAGTTTATTTCAAGTTTGTCAAACTGGCAGCTTGGAACAAAGTTTTGCCTTTCAGACATCTTATTCAGGCTGATCATGCAATGCACTTCAGATGTAAATAATATTACCATACCCAGTACTACAATAATTCAGCAGAAAAAGTGGTTTACAAATTTTAAAGTTACTTTAAGTTGAAATAGAAAATATACGGATAGAAATAGAAATACTTTAAATTGAAATAGAAAATATACTGGTTTAGTACTTGTCACTGGAAGTTCAGTGACTAAATAGGGAAAAGGGGGAAGCAATCTGACTGGTATGTGTGACCGGTGCAGCTGGGGAAGGAATGGAAAAACCCAGTATGTTTCTGGAGGCCAGCTAATGCCTGCAGAGATCAGGATGCAAACACAATCATCAGAACTTGGAATGGAACCTACAATGTTGCTTCCCAATGCAAATTCTTTTGTCCAGCAAACTGCCATGAAACTACCAGCAGAGAATGTATTCTGGGGAAGGCATGAGATAAGAATATTGTTTAATAAAGCAGACTGAAAAAGAAATACTTTAGAGAGAAAAAGAAAAATAAAAAGAATACTATTAAGCTTGTAAAAACACGAACTGAAAGTTTGAAAATGTTAGATCTGAAGATACACATTCAAATGACATATAGTCCCTTTGTGAAAATGCTTTATGATCCAGAATTTATTTAAACAATTAAACACACATACACCGCCCTGCAGAGTTCTGACTCCACATAGTAACTGTATGGACTTGGACCTGGAAACTAATTTATGTGTAAGCTTATGCAATGTCTGTAGGATTTCTGGCTCATTTGTTGAAGAAATGAGAAGGCATACAATAAAAGCAGTTTTGCAAATGGAGTTTTGAAAACAGAGAAAAGCTCATAATTAAGTCAACTGAGTATCATTCCAGATAACTGAATTCTTATATAATCTGAGTAATTCACAACACATTTTTCACCAATGGCTGTGTTCATTTTCTAGGTGCCAACCCTATATGAAGCTGAAGCTAGAGTTCTCAGTAGCTCCAAAAACATTAGCTACACTTAAACCCAAGAGAGACTGCTTCAAACTTATGCTATAAAAATAATCTATAAAAATAATGTTCTGAAAAATTCTGTGCTAAACTTCTGACTAATAGATTTCTGGTGATTTGGACACAAATTGCTCTGTGCATTAGATTCCTATCTATAAAGCTGAAATTACATTATCATTTTCACAAGTGTGTTGTGAGGATGAATTAATTAGTGTCTGTGAAGCACTCAGTAAGGCCATATAAAAAAAACCTCAAACAACCTCACGGTGAAATTAGTAACTCAAGAGAACGCAGAGCTTCGCTGAAGTGTGGTAAATAAGACCTCAACCCCTACACTGAATGATAAGGATAAAAATGGAACTCTGAATACTTTCCATTCAGTGAATAGTGCTCATTTTTCTCTTGAATGGAGCAGAGATCCTGTGGAAAAGAACTGCTATACAATCATGAGAAAGCCATTTGTAATTCATTACTCTGTTCTATATTTGATTCTGATTAATGTTTTCTTTTCCTTTTCACATGAATTTTCTTTTATTCCCATTTTTAGTCCTTTTTCATATTTTCTTCTAAACAGAACACAGTGTCAGCAAAATTGATTATAAAGGAACTTTCCAACCTAACATGTTATAACAGCTTCATAATTAGGCACAGAAAACTCAGTCATTCACTGTGATTTCACTTCATCTAAAAAAAAAAAAAAAAAAGGAAAAAAAATGGAGGGGCAATTTTGATTGCAGTATTTGTCTTGTGTCCTCTGTCAGCAGTGCCCACTTACTGCAGTTTTGTTGGCTATGAACTTATGGGTACACTGCAGATGGAGAACTATACCATGGTTCTTCGATAAAGCCCAGTTACAGCATTATTACAGCCCAGGCCCTGCCTGCCCAAAGGTCTGTTAGAAAAGAGGGCAGTCTGAAGGACAGTGTGGACCACCTGAGAGGCCACAACAATACAGCCAGTAACTCCCACCTTGGTCACTTACGCCTTACAGATTTCAACTGCACTGTGACACCATGATAAGCTGCTTAGACCCAAGCGGTCTAACCCAAGCAGTTCAAACCCAAGAACTCCTGAAATGAACCTGCCTAATATTGCATATTATTAAGTTTTCAGGTCCCTATAGGATATGGCAGTTTTGAAGGAGGCTGTACTCTTTCTGTCCTCTACCAGTCTACACTCCTGTCCTAGATCTAGAGCTATCACTGAAAGGGAAGCACTAGCAATGCCAAGCCCTGCTTGTTATGCTCCATCACCTCTGAGGAAAATACATCCCATCTACCCGTGTTCACATTCTCTTCAGCAATGAGAGTGAACTTTCTTCTAAGTAGAGCAGCAGGAATACATGACATTTCTGGATAGAAAGGAAAACTCTACAGAGATCCAGACTGCTAGCATGCAGGATATAGTAGTCAACGCAAGTCAAAATCACTGCTGGATTTACAGCATAACCACTACACAAGCTGTAAATGATACCGACCCGCTATTTCCTGGATATTCTTGCGCTAACCCAGAAATCAGAACAAGAGGGGAAACTGGGCCACAAAGGGAACACATTTGGCCATTGGGATGCAGCAGCACAACGAGCAAATTGCATCTGTCTTCAGGATTACATACTGGGCTAAGCATCTGTGATGCCACAGAATTAAAATTAAATGTTTTATGCTGTTGTAATGTTCTTTGTTGACTAAATCAGTCTAAGAATAAAGTAAACTTATGTAGTCATACAAACCCCCTTCATGTTATTAAAATACATCATTCTCAAATTAATATGCATACTCAAAATAATTATGCGCTTGTAACTTTGACAGGATTTGCATATGATGTTCATTGCTATTCAATGTCAGAACAAAGAGTAAGATATTGAAATAATAAACATTTCAACTAGCAGAAATTTAAAATAAATCTGTAAATCATGCTGAATTACAAAGAAACATGCCACAAAAAAAATCCCATAATCCTGAGAATGCAGCTGAACACAGTATAAGAGATTGTACAGGGAAAAGCAGCCAATCTCTTGAGAAGAATGTGCAAGAGCATCCCAGGGCCTGCAGTGCTACTTTACACCACAGCTTTTATTAGATATTAGGTTCCCAGGCACAACCCCTATCCCATAGCCTACAAACATCAGCATGGTTGTAAAGGAGTACCGAGGGGAGACAGAAATCTTTACCCACTGACCCCTAAAAACCTCACAAAAATCCCTCAACCAAAAAGTGTAACAGTACATTAATACTAAAAGCGGTAGCCAAATAATTATTAAACTATCGTCTCTGAAGAAAATTTTAATAGTGTGACCCATGATTAATGCAGAGCAGCCAGGATGTTCAAAAGACACCTAATGAGTCTGCTCAGTGAACAATTTACAAATATAAGGGATTTATTCTGTTTCTTGAATAATACTTCTGAAAGTTTTATTTGAACTGAATCATCAGGGAGGCATATAACTATTTTTATTGAAGACCAAGAAACAATCCTTCCACTAATCATTTTCAAAGCACATTAATGATATTTAGTTAATTTTATTTGTATATGTATATGTATGTATTTGGAGGTTACTTTGGTACATTCCAGAAACTGCAATATGACTATCAAAGGACTATAGCTGCTCATATAGTTAAGAGTTGCACATGAAGGTAAAACAGGTGTTAATTTAAAAAAAAATTAAAAATTACTATTCTTTTATTTAGATAAATGTTAATTAAAACCAGTTTTAGAAATCTGATTCAGTTTACCAGAAAAGTAGGACACTGCATGAAAATACATTTTGATTTCTTGATAAATTAATAAAAGAAATCACCCTAAAGAACTGAGGCTTGTATTTTGTATTCTAACAGTTAAACTTGAAACTGCTTTGCTACTTACCAAACCCTCACTGGGCATAATGCTGGTGAGATGAACTACCTCAAGATGTGCTGACTGTGACACCAGAGAATCAGATGAGAGCGAAATGATGTGGTCACAAATCCCAGACAAGGTTTTACACTACAAAGAAAAACAAGTCAATGTAATTCCTCATATTAAACTGAAACTACTAGTGATTAAGTTCTTATTCTAAGAATTAAGTGAGAATAAACAGATAATTTTACTTTTTAGCACTGCAAAAACTACAGGTATATGAAAGTCAAGAACAAGAAGTTAAAGGAACAGAAAATATCCATAAACGTCAAGAAAATGTACATGCATGTACAGTTCTCATCAAAAGATTTTACTGGGCATTGAGAACATCTGTGTATCTAAACTATTTCTCCACTCCAACTATATGCACTTAAAAAAAATCCCCACCTGATGAACTTCATCTTATCTGTCATTATAATGTATTATTATAAATACAATGGACGTTGAGTAAAATATGTAAAAATAAATGCCTTGTACACCAACTTAAACACCTTATGCCTCAATAAAACGCCCTTTACACTAATAAACTATTTTGGCTACCAAATAACGACAGCAACCCTACCAACAGAGATAATTAAGTGAAATAAGCTCCTTCAGAGGAGGAGCCCCACTGCATAGATGGCAATGGTGATTAAACCTGTCGATCAAAGGCAAGCAGGAAGTCTATGGATCAGAAGGGAACTGATCAATACTCTCAGGGAATCTTCATGTGTAAAGATTTAATCCCAAATTTGCATATGTTGCTTAAAGTGTTCCTTCAAAAAGACTATGCCTAAAAATATTTGAACCTAATCTGAAAGCATTCATTTAGATGAATTTCAGAATGGTCTTCTGGTCAAAGTTGTGCTGTAAGCATCTCTTTTCCTTTGGGGACTATACTCCCATTTTCCCTAATTATAGCAAATTTTAGTGAAATCCCTTAGGGGAAGTTTTATTTCAGACATCTGCAAATGCATGAGGATTTCTAATATCTCATTTGACACTATACATATAAGTTAAAGAAAGTTGTCACAATTAATAAATTGACTGGGTTTATAGATTATATTTCCATTCACTGCACAGTTAGTTACTCATCTGGAAATCCAAGTACAGCCCTGCAGTATTGGACGTGGATGTGGCATTTGTGTTTTGTATCAGGTGCACGATGCAAAGCATCCCATTCAGGTACGCATGACTGCATCTAAAGGTCTCCATTATCAGAAATATTTCTAGTGGTTTCAGCTTTGGGCCAGAACCCCTAAACAAAACTTTAGGTCCTGTCTTCTCTCACCAGAGATACAGAATCTGGCTTCCTCAAAAAACCTACTTCTATTCTAAATATGATCTGATGGCTGACCCTGTCCGTGAGAATATGCTTTCATCCAGCTTTTGAATGACTGTCGTATCAACATATTGCTATGATTTTGAACTGAGGCCCTCTCTTACGCCTTAACATTTAAGACCATATGTACAGTACTAGCTGCAGTCCAGAGACACCACTTTCTACTTTCTGATGTCACAGGTGTCACTTGCTCATCCTTCTTCAGTAAATAAACTTTGGAACAAAATTAACAACAACGTTTTCAATCAAGTTTACTCTTGGGAATCTTTAAGACCTCCCCATGTTTCACAAAGTTAACTAAAATCTATGTAGGATTTATCATGAGGAAAATATTCTAGAAAACTATGTTAGAATAATTTAAAATATCGGTTTGCTGCAAAAGTAGTTCAGCAGATACAAGAGATGTAAATAATGCAAAGGCTGAGATAGTATAAATAGGAGCAACTGAGCAGAATTTATGAATAGCAGCGCAGGGTCAGGAAGTAACGTCTGATGCGCCACTATCAACATAAGATGTTACACTAACATATGCTAAATTGTTTTTGGCATTAAAAAATAGAAAGGACCAAAGTCTTGTGTACTAACTAGTGTTGTGTTCCAAACCCACAGAGAAGCAAAGTGCATAATCTCCAGATGGCGCAATACTACTGCACTTAAGAGAATCTCAAATAAAAATTGATTCTTCAAGAAGTTCAATACCTGCTGCAGAGGAACTCTACATACAGTTTTACAGGCTGTCCAACTCCTAAAACCATTTATTATGCTTTTCTCAATGGGCCATGGCAAGAACAGAATCTCTAGGAAATCACTAAGTCTTGAACAAGCCATACAAACATATACATTACAAAAAGTATTTTTAGTATGGCAGCCACTGCTGGGTCTGTACAAGAATGTAAGTTAATAATCTGTATTTACTGCTAAAAGAACAAGTAGCAGGTTGTAACTTTTAATTATCATAGCTATGCTATATTAGTCTGAAGAACTGATGCAGTCCTGATAACCACATTTTGCTGAACAGGTATCCAAACCAAAGAAACCTGACTCTCTGACATGCGGTTTAAGTGATCCTAAAGATCACTCCTTCATAATTTCTTTTTTTCCATAATACCCGAGTTACAGAGTAGACATGGTCTAGTCATACGACTGCTGAGAGAATGGCAACTGTGCACCCGCAATCACGTCTGAGCACACGCTGCCCTAGTGCAGAGCTCTGCCAAACAAGCCCACACCTCAGGGAATCCATCCAGCAACCAATGGAGAAAGTCAATCATGGATCATCATTTCATAAATCTGTCTTCACCTGTAAGGATATCTTTCTCAATATCTTTCAGAGATTAAAAAAAAAAAAAGCCATGTTCTATTTAAGAGTTATAAATTCCATCTCTTACAAATATAAAATTTTACTTTAGAGCACCACAGTTCTTTGAGTATTTATTTTTTAGAAATAAAGTGACTATAAAAGACATGAACAATTTACAAAGCTTATTCCTGAATTCAGTATACTTGAAGCAATTTTTTTAAAAAATGTGTTGCGAGAAAGATGGTGATTCTTCTCACTTCACCCAGAGTTACAGTGATAAACAGGTTGATCCTCAGAGCCTATATGTTCTGGATCTGGTAGCTTCAGGTGATTTTGCTCAGGCTAAGATGAGTTTTACTGCCTTGGGATCTAGGCTCCTTCAGTTTCATCACACTTTTGCTGCTGAGCCTATGGAATACTTAAAAATGGAAACTTTTTTCTCTCTTCTATTTTTTTAGGCTTCTGTTCAGAATGGGTAGAAAAGTCCAAAGTAACATTCCTGTTAAAGATGTATTTCTAGAAGTCATATGCAGTTAGAACTGTGGGTTGAAAGATGTGTATATATGTATGTGTGTATAAATATATATATATTTATACACACTCCAAATCCCAGAAGATTTCAAGTGCTTTTAGAAGTTCTTTTCAGAATAAGGTTTACAACAGTAAGCTTTTGTGAGCTTTTTTCTAACAGTCACTGCATGCTTTCTGAATTTAACAGCACATTAATGTTTTACGACAAATTTTAATCCCTGCTGGAAGCAGAGTATGTGTAAAGGGTTTTAAAAACAGAAAAAAGAAAAAAAAAAAAAAAAAAAAAAAAGGCACTTTGTTAGAGCTTGTCAAAAGCTTATCTGAACTTGTAAATCCTTTGAGATTTCCCTTTCACCATAGGCTTTAAATCTATCTCAGTGTCAGTACAAGTCTTCAGTGCCAGTACCAGGAAAATATAAAGTATTTGAACTTAAAGGCCAATATCTAATCAATAACTTTGTATAAGATTGTTCCATTTCCCTTTGTCATTAGGTTTTTCGAGTGCTGAAGGCACAAAGTGCTCAGTCTGACAACCAGTGAAGGTACTAATGCATCAGGTCTGATGGATCCATTGCTGGAGTTCCACGCCAGCAATCCTAGTAAGAGTAATACACTAGTAAGAGTACTGTGAAGCTTCTAAAACAGTCTAAGAACAATAATGATTTATTTGTACTTAATGGTAGGTATAACAGAGAGCATTACTGCAGGGAACTGTGTGAAGAGAGTGAGAGGGATCATCTGGCCTAGCCGGCTAAAATAAAACAGGCATAAGTTAGGGAATATCAGAAGAAAGCTGATTCTTAAACCTTAAATTTGAAAGACTTCCAATGTAGGAAAGAGTAAAAAGGTTTGGTAGGAATGGTTCTTAAGGGAATGACACCATCTTCCATAAGCCTCTAGTGTTCTGAGAAACTGGAAACAAGGTCCTGGGTGAAAAAATATTTTATTAATACTGTTTGGGTAGCATCTCTCCATTTCCCTGTGCTGATGCAAAAAAAGATGTTTGGGAGTGTCCATTCTAGAGTACTGGGACAGTCATTAAACTGGCTGGCAGGAAACACAACTAACATACTAAGTTGGTTTCAGGGGGTCACAAAACATGTAAGCTGATACCTCTCTTGCTGGTCCCAAAAATAATTTTTAACTTCTAAACTATTTTATCTTATTTATCAAAACTTTAACTTTTAGAAACTGATTTAATTCATCACAAGTTGTGACAAATAGTAAGGAACTCTATTTTCTTATAGTAGACTTAAATGATTAAAAAAATAAAATTAAGTGGATGGGGTAGAATTACAGGATATTAAAGCAGAATACTTAGATTACTTACCACATGAAGAATTTTATTTTCTGTTTCATACACTGTACAATCCTGTGGTAAAATAAAACAAACAAACAAAAATAATTAATGCACATTATTTTAATTGTCTTAGGAAAAAAGAAAAGAAGGCTTTATGCTGATATCTATCTCTTACAGAGTTATCTGTAAAGACAAATGATCTCTTGGGTTTGGTCATGACCAAAAGGTTACTTTACAGTCTTAGGAAACTTGTCTTCCCTTGTGTCTGGTTAACCTCAGGGATCTATTCTTTCCTTGACAGGATAGATTCATGATACTGAGAAAAAAAGTAATTCCATATAATTAATCTGGCATGTCAGAATTTCAATGATGTGCAGAGCAAGAGATACATTGCCTGGCCTTAAATCAGGCAGAAAATTTGTTACCTGTTCTACAAGCTGTGTGGGGTGCAGACAGTTGAGTCAGGCCTACACCTAAGTAGACTGTCTTACTATAAAGCATGGGAAGGAAGAGTAAACAGAGAGTATTTTGACAAGTAAAATGCTAAACTTGGTGTGTCTGCACTATCAGTTTAGTTTGCTCCATCTTTTGCTTCAAGGCCCTGATTGTCTTCACCAGCCACAAGTGACAAGAAACAGCAACGGTCCCATCTCCTGGGAGAGGTCACGTAACTGCTCTAGCTTTAGACTTTGTAAGGCAAGAGCCAAACCAAAAAGGATAGGAAAGGATATGGGCTTGCTCATGCTGAGCACTGGTCCAGGGGTACCCAGGGGGTTTCACTGCCTTAAGGCTTCCCGAGGAACAGCTCCATCCCTGCATGCCATTACACAATACTGCTGTTAACCAATTTAAAGTAGGCCTGAAAAACAATATCCCTGATCAACCTCTTTGTTTGCTTAAGACTTGTAACTTCTAGAGAAGTCATTTTCCTATTTTAGCTATCATTTTAAGAATAATAGATCTTATCACTTGATAACTCCATTACTCCTTTAAATTGTGTTTTGATTTAGTGATATTACAGTGGCTAGAATATTACTTTTTCTTCATGAAACTAAGCATACAGATTCCTAAAAGAGATGTACTGCCTCCATCTACTCCCTTTTAACATTTTGAAGGTTTCCTCAGTACAGTCCTCTATAAAAGCAAGACGCAGTGATGACAGGACAGTATTTAACCCTTTTTTACAGGAGAGGGCCCACATGCACTGAGGCAGCTCTACCACACTCCACTCCTGCCAGTCAGCACTCCAATCACCACACAGTCTCTCAAGTTATATTTTACTAAAATGCAAAATTAAAAGGAAAATACAGAAAACTCAAGTTTGCCAGACAGAGCGAGATGAGAATACACTTCTCAGAAAACTAGGTCCCCTCTGAGGCCAGGCACAGCCAGGGTGCAGCCGCCACGGCCAAGCTCCCGCTTCCCCCAGCCCCAGAGCTCCAGAAACTTCCACTGCTGGCACGAGGCAGGGAGCCCACCCCACTCCTTCATGGGGAGCACCAGCCCGAGACACCCACCTGTCTGCTCTAACAGAATCTGGGCAGAAAATATCTCTGAGGTGTCCTGGCATCTCCCCGTGTCCAGGGAGGCTGACACCCCGACCTGGCGGCTGGCGGGAGCCCCTGAGCTCTGTGAGGGGGGGACAGGGAGCCCTGTAACCCCGTGAGGGAGGGGACGGGGAGCCCCAGAACCCCGTGAGGGAGGAGATGAAGAAGCTGCCATAAAACATACTGAGGACCGGGGAGGATGGGATCCTCACCTCATCAGGGGCCTTGTTTACCATAGGAATTTTGTTTATAATGCCATATTGGCACTGATTGTTTACATTTAGGTCAATTAATGGATAAAACCAGAAAAATTATGTTGAGAAATTGCTAAATACTTCTTCAAATGTTATGCCACATTGGGAAAAAAAAAGCTTTCTACAAAGCAAGATGAGGATTTAAAAACATATTTTTAAGAATGAGAAAATGACAAGTAAAAAACACTGTCCTTTATTTGTCATTTTTCCCTGAATAAAATTTAAAGTAAAATCTAACTATACCTAAAAGATCCCCTCAAGTAAATTAAGATTCCTCATAGTTCTCAAGATTTCCTCTGTCCTGGATCTTAATATGTTAGCAATAACAGTTAATTGCTTTAAACTTCCCATGCAATAACTCCATCCTCACTCCATTTACTCTACAATAGATGAGCTGTATGTCCAGCCTGGGCTGTGGTACTCTCTGTGAGAGAAATAGCAGCTCACTGGCAGATCTCTGCTCCTCTTTTTGAGTCCAGCAGCAAAAATCCTGGGCTATGTCCTATCTACTGAGGCCACACTCAGCTCTCAAACCTTATTCCTTGGGTGCTGCTTTAAGCATCTTTTCCCTCAGCCCGTGTGAGGCTGCTGCCAAGCAGCTTTAGCCTGTGCCAGCCACTCAGCCCTGGGTACACGTAACTGTCGCACCCTCAACTCTAAGGGTCATGTTTATTTTGCAGGACTGGCACTTTTGTAGAGAAATTAATTTCTAAGCGAATACAGTTTCAAGAATATCGTTACAGAATAAGAAAGTTAAAATCAGATGATTGTGAGTGCCAAGTCACACAGAGAAGAATTTATATTAGCATTTCATGGTCAAGTATCACTTTGATGTTTCTTCTGTATTCATACTGTTCTTTTCCACAGCACAGAAAGAGAATTCAATTAGTCAGTCTGGTTGGCAATGCCCAAGGCAGTTTTTCCTACAAGTGTTAGACACTTCAAACAGCACATCCACCATCTTGTTTTAACCCTCCAAGTACCAAGGGAACAAAATGATCACAGCAGGGCTTGCAGCTTGACTTCAGAGCTAATGATCCTTTTTAAATGCTTCCTTTAATTTCTGTGCTAGAAACACAATATGAACTTCACTCTGAACAAACTAATTACTTCAGGTCAAAAAATACAAGACTTATGTATAGTAAAACTGAAATGTTACTGTTTTGTAGAGCAAAATTAGTGTTAGCCATACTCATGTTGCACATTAAAGATTACATTAGCATCAACAAGGTTAAAGGCTTTGGGATTCCTTCCAAAGTAGATGCATATGGACTTTTTTTTTTTTTTTTTAAATACATCAGTCTAGTTTAACTGAGCGGTTAAAAGCACTTGCAATCTTATACTAAAATATTAAGATATGTAGGTCACAATATTCTTCTGATTTATTTTTCTTTGATATATAGCAGTGCACTAGGGATGTCATTAAAAAAAAATCTTCCAGGACTAACGTTTATAGAATTTTGATGTATTTTTCTTAGAAAATAAATAATAGTTATACTGATATTATTTCTGCATCCTCCATAAACAAGATGACATATTAAAAATGTTTTCTCTTAGACTTTAAAAAACTCTTAAAAAAATTAGTAGCTGCATTCTATTTCTCCTCTGTAAAAGGGTAAAATACAGGAATTACAAAAATAGTCACAGTAGGAGTATTACGTACAAGCCAGTTTATGCACTACCTGAACATTCTACCTCTCAAAGGTACAGTACACCTTCATAACTCTGATAAAGCAAACCAGCATTCTTTTGAATATTCATAAAGAGAAAAGGTCAGTAGGACCTGTGCTCACCCACACTATATTCATAATTTTAGTTTCCAGTTCCAAAAGAAAGAAAAAATGCAAGTGCTACTGAAATTTGCAGATACCATAAAGAATGTTTTATGACGAGTCTTGAGGACAGTTAACTAACACATAAAATAGTAATACATGTAAAATATTTAGTTCATTAACTTAATACAATAAACCAGCATGAGTTAAGTCAACTACTGAAAAGAAACAGAGACCCCGTAAAGGAGCAGTTTGGAAGAAAACTTAAAACTTTGTGATGTTTGCCAGTTGAATGCCATTTCCCAACAGAACACTGCAGTAAAGATCTGCTGCAACCTTTGAATGGTAGATACGAAAAAAATGATATTTAAAGTTATATTGCTTGTATAGATAAAATCAAACACTCTTATAGAATTCATGCATTAAAAAGGAATGAGGATGCTCTGAAATTAGGCAAATATGTAACAGTAAATACACTAAAGTAACTTATTTTACCTGGATTAATTAAGTTAAAGACTAGATCATAATCTATATTTAGAAAACAGGGAACAGATGTTTGATAACAAAATGTTCTTTAGCAAATGCAAGCAAAATAAGATTGAGGGGCTGAAAGCTGATGTCTGCAAAGTTCAAACTGAAAATAACACCCACGTTTTTAATGGCAGTTGCTGAATCACAGAACAGTTCAGGTGGAAGGGACCTCTGGAGGTTATCTAGTCCAACCACCTGCTCAGAGCAGGGCTAATTTTGAAGTTAGACCAGGTACAGGAAGCTACTGAGAAAGAACAATTTCTATCAATTGCAGTATGAACTAGATAGCTATAAAAAACATGTTTCATCCTAAACACAAAGTATTTGACTAAGACCAGGGTAAAAATTTAGGATATGGTCTCTGAATTTATCTCATGAAGGTTAATTAAACATTAATAAAGGGGAGAACAAGCAAAATATGTTTGTTTTTTGTTGGAAAAAAAATTAGCCTGAGTTGTGCTTACATTCTTTAGTAAGACACAGACAAATATTTTGTTTAGAGAATGTTCATGCAGTTTAAACAGGTTTAAACATCTTGAACATAACCAGGAAAAAAAAATAGTCAGAAAACCAACTTCTACTAGAACTAGTGAGCTCTTTCTACTTAATGAAAAATATTCTTTCCCAGTTATTCCAGTTATCTGGGTAGCCTTGATATAATCCAATCCTAATCGAAATTCCGTTAAGTTAGTTTGATGTGGATTAATTTTCAGAGCAAAAATGAGAGCTAGTCTACTTTGAAGTTAGATCTAGACTTCAGAATGAAGTCAGAGAGCTCAGACATTGCAATATTCTGATCTGACATGCTTTTTTTGCACATTATCAACAACACATTGTGATGGGACACTGAACCTTAAAATTAGGATGTTTCTACAGCTTTCTGCGTAATGCTATTCTTTTATAGTTTCCCTACTTATTTTAATGAAGGTGAGATTGTGAGGGATAAGAAATCTGAGTAGAATACAATACATTACTAATCATAAATGGACAGGTATAAAACTTTTCTAAAACTAGAGAATAAAGATCATTATTCTTACAACCTGTATGAGAAGATACTATTTACAGATAAACAAGTGACTGCTTATTCATCGTAGTACTTACATGGTATGTAAATAATAATATCCAACACTGCAGTTCCTATGTTTGGATGAAATTTTGAATGAAGATCTCATCTTCACACTCACACAGGAATGAATATGGCTTAAAATCTAAAAAAAGTCTGCTTCCTTATTAGATCTAAGAGCATGTCACTCCGATAAATAGAGTACATCCTAGCAAGAAGATTCATGAGCAGTGTCTATATTAAACTAAGATTACATAGCAATGCCCCCTATTTAGCAGAAAATTCGCCTTGAGTAGCAGCTGTAAATTATCCACACAAAGCATGTTAATTTTGCACAAAATAAATTTTTAGGTTGAAGACACTCCTCACTCAATGTGCCAAATGTGTAGCCTTGACTGCTACTTTCACATTGACTAAATTAAATACCTAAAAATATATATCATTCATAAAACAAGAAGTATCTGAAAGAATCCAAGATCTAAGTTTCTATTAGTTATTCAGATTATCAATTCATATTTGAGCCTACAGACTGCAGTTCTTTTTTAGGTGAGACATTTTTGCTTTCATACACTAAGATCAATTTTCCTCAGATTTAGTAGCAGCAAAACTGTCTCCCTATGAATGATTTTGCTTTATCTACTCTTTCTCGTGCTAAATTTAATATACTATAAAAAGATCTTAATAGATGACTATCAAACAATTCCAATCTGACAATAAGAAAAGAGAAAACTTGATTTTTAACTGACCTGAAGAACCAACTAAACATTTTTCATCTTGAAATGCCTTGAAGTTTATGTGAAAGATAGATTGTTTTTAAGTTGTCAAAAGGAGGACAGCTTTGGGAGTGGAGATGAAGAATTGAAGGGAAAAAAAAAAAAAGAACCAAACTATTGCTGGCAGAGGAGAACTGAATTTCATCTGCCAAAAGCAGTGAAATAAACGACAGAAATGGAGACAGCAATTCAAAATTACACTATTCTCACTTAGACCACAGGGAAAAAATCAAACTCACACAAAGTGCAATAACAGCTGAAGGGCAGAATCAGAATCCAAACTTTTCATACTATAGAGAAGTTCATTTTGCTTATTCTGTAAATCAAAAATAGCCTAGTGCTATAAACACCTTGTAAGAGAAAGCTTAATAAAGATACATAAATAATTAAATGTCTACATGGGAACTTTTAAACCAAGAAAAGGGAAAAAGGATCTCTGTTTTGCACTGCAAAAATGCATAAAGGACAAAACTTCTAAAAGGAATAAAGCTGAATATTATAAATAAAGAGTAATAGTGTAAAATACAAAGATTGATATTTATCAGCCTTAGTTCTTTTTTTCCCAGATTACAGGGAAAACTGTGCCAGCATAGGACAGAGGCAGGTGGTGGATCCCTGTATACTGGAGACAGGGCTGGTTTAAGATATTTACAAAAACTACAGCCTTAGCTAAACTTTCTTATAATCATAGAACAGTTTGGGTTGAACTGGACCTCAAAGCCTCTCCAATGCCCCCCCCGCCCAAGGCAGGGCCACCTTCCACTAGCCCAGGTTGCCCAAAGCCCCGTCCAACCTGGCCTTGAGCCCTTCCAGGGAGGGGGCAGCCACAGCTTCTCTGGGCAGCCTGTGCCAGGGCCTCACCCCCTCACAGGGAACAATTTCTGCCTTAGATCTCACCTAAATCTGCTCTCTGTCAGTTTAAAACCATTACACCTCATCCCATCCCTCCCTACCCCCCTGATGACGAGTCCCTCCCCCCTTCCCTGCAGCCCCTTTCAGCCCTGGGACCCACTCTAAGCTCTCCCCGGAGCCTTCTCTTCTCCAGCTGAACCCCCCAACTCTCTCAGCCTGTCCTCACAGGGGAGGTGTTTAATTTCTTCTTGCTTTCCCTCCTATAACACTTTCATCTTTCTCTTTTGATTCATTCCAGGACAGCCCTGCCTGTTCTCTAACATCTCCATGTACTGCAGTAACTCTACTTTGTTTCATCAGTATTTTTATCCACTTACAAGAGGAGAAGCTTGCTGTAAATATTTGTAAAACTAATTTCCCCTCAGTCTTTCTATACCTGTGTGTCACCTCTTGTCCTACTTCAGGGGCAGACACTGTCAGAGACTATGATTGTGTATTAAGCAGCTACAGACCAGATAAATTAATTTTATGTACCTGTGGGACTGTACTGTATCACAATTAATTAATGAATGCTGGAGATGATAATACTACTAGTCTTATTTGTTCCATATTGGGTTTATTTAATGTTGTGAATATTTGTTGTTAATCACTAAACAACTTTCATCTAACTGGCTCTCCTTTAAGTGAAGAAGCCACAGTACAGGTCCTGGATATATTTGTATGCATTTTAAAAACTTGTCCCTGAAAGATTTTTGACCATTCATATTTTAATCTGTAATAAACTGCTGGAAGTGGTTAAACTGTTTCCCACTGTGGCTTTGTTCTTTTGTTTAATAATTGCATGGCGATAAATCACCTGACATGAAATCGTCTACTCAAAAGCAAAGTGGATTATTTTTAACTTCACACTGGCTTTCAATCTATCCAGGCATATGAGGATAACCAAAGTCAAAAAGTCTTCCCATCACTCCCAGAGAACGTGCAAAAAACAGAGAGGTAATGCTAAAACAGTTTTTCTGGTGAAGTAAAAGCTTAGCAATGTTTTTATTATTGTAACTTTTAAGCAACAGTATGAAGAGCACTCAGATAGCCACTCCTACCTGTTGCACAATGGTTGTTAGTTCCAGGCACAGTTGAACAATGTTGTTTTTCAGCAGTGAGTATTCTGTCACGCTGACAAATGGAGACCTGTCAAAGGAAGGACAGGTTTATACAGCGGTAAGGATTATAGCTCCTGTTGACTGTATAAGCAGATATATGTAATGTAGAGATCACAGAGATGTGAAACACCTAATCATGACAATCTCCAGCAGCAAGTTACACAACTTTTCTAAAACGCGCCGTTGAAACAAGAAACAATGTAGGCAGGAAGGATGCAAACTGGATTTTGGTCAGAACATCCAAAGTTATTCTTGTGGAAAGTGGAAATAGGAGCTTCCAAGTAATGGTAAGTAGTCCAGTACAGCTCATTAAAAAGGCAGCATTTCTAGTATGACATCGCCTCTTGAGCAGCAATTAGCACCTTAATTCAGAAAGCAAAGTAATGCTTACTTAGTCACTAACAGCTTCCCGCACACTTGGATTTTCTTTAGGCTTTCCGAATTCTAGCTGAATCTGACCCTATCTGAATTTATAAGAACTGACAAGGTCATAGCCTGAGAGAATATGACTGCTGGCATTAGGTTAGGAAGATGTCACCAGGATTATAAAAATCCTGTAAAGGAGGGTGATTCACTCTCACTGTGATTTCTCAGGTGCCATTTATACATTCAAGAGCGTTCAGATTCAAGATAAAGCTATCCATTGCTATAACTCTAAAGAAAGAAACTAAACATAAATGCTCCAATGCTATTTTATGCTTTGATTTCTCTGTCTTTCCACAGTCAAAATTTTGACTAAATTTATTCAGAGATACTTTTAATCAAATTCTTGGTTTGTAGATGAAAAAATCCCAGTGGTTGATTGTTGAGCATTAACTAACACCAAATTCTACCTAACAAATCAATCCTACTCGTTAATAAAATTTATTTCCAGACTAAAGCAAGTACTAGAATTTATTTTGAATATTCTTAATTGATTTGCTCCACTCCAGCTTTTCTGAGCCTTTCTGATGGCTAAAGGACAGTTGAAACTCCAACAATCTTTTCTTCCTTACCCTTCTTGCAGTGAGATGTCAACTTGGAATATCACAAAAGTATTAATTTCACACAAAATACTATCAGACTGAAAGAATCTGAAAAATTAACTAGAGAAAATTTTAACACCCTCCTGACAGAAAAGGATACTACATTTTGCCGCCAATATTTGAGAAATTGGCAAAAACAAAATTTAGAATTAGAATTACAGAACTGCCATTTTAGTATTAGAATAAATGAATACAAGAGAAAAAGAAAGAACAAATACAGAACCATCCAAAGGATTAGTCATAAAGTATCAAAAAATAGTAAGTTACCTGTCCAGCCAGGCTAGTAAGTTCTTGGCAGCACCAATCAAGTCAACTACAGAGGTAAGAAAATCATTTGGCAGTCGTCTGGAGGCCCTGCCATCATAATGGCCACTCCTCCTTCTACCCGTTATAAAGTTCTGAAGGTTTTTGGCTGAAGCATTCAGCTTGTGAGACAGAGTTCTCAGGTTTTCGGTCTCCAAACCATAATTCTAAGGGGAAAGAAGATACACAGTTAAGTGAAATAGTGTGTTTTCAGCTTTGTGAACAAAACTGTGAGGTTGAACATTCTGAAAGGTATTGGCTGAAAGGACAGGCTAGTTATGGGTGCCTGGTGTTAGGCCAAGCGGCAGGCTACTGTGTGGACAACAGAAAGGATGTGTCTGTCATTAGCACGACCAGCTCTGCTGGCACCAACGCTAGAGTCCCCACACTCACTGGTCCCACTGAGGGGAAGGCACAACCAACCCCCATATACCTGGTCTCAAGGTCTTTCCTGTTTTCAAAGAGCGAAGGTGAGTCAGTCTACTGTCCCCGACCTGCTACGGTTCAGTGTTAGAAACCGCTCGGTGTATTTGTTCCCACTGAGAGCAGGTCTTTAGCAGTCCCACTGCACTGGATCTCACTCACTCTGATTTGTGTTAGCACTCTACCGACTTGCAATAACTTAGCTTTGGCAGAACTTCCCTTTTACTTACGCTCTGAATAAGATATAAAATCTTACACAGCCTTGGTAACAGGCTTTTACAGGAAATTTCTTCCTGAACCCTGCTATTGTTGGTGAGCAGCTGTCCCATGTGTAATGTAATACGGGAACAGTCAAACCAGGTCAGAGCAAAGACGTGGTACTCCTGTTTCCAATGACTGCGCAGGGAAGAATCTGAGAATGGAACAGGCATGTAGTAACAGCTGTTAGTGGTTCAGAGACTTCAGCCAGTGACAGTGTCTTCAGATTTAACAGTTCTTAATGGATTTTATTCCATTGTTTGTTTTCTGATGGGGCAGAGGGGCAGTATTAAATCTAAGTAAAGTTTTCCACACACAAGTCCCTTTTCCCTTTGTTCACATTCCTTCATCCATGTCCCTGTCCTTTTATCACCAAGCCAATTCCCGATTTACACCCAGGTAACAAGCACAAAGGTATCTCAGCTCATATACATTAAATAATTCACTCAAGTTCACATAGCAAGTCTCAAAGGCGCTGAATTGAACCCAGATTTCTTGCTGCTACGATACAATGTAGCATATGAAAGAATTTAATGAGCATTTAAACAAAATCGAATTTCAGAATATGGATTGATTACCCACTGTTAATGTCAAGTATGTATGTGTTACAGGGGATGACTGATTATCAATATCATGTTAATTTTTCTGCCTAAACTTCTCCCTCAAAACAGAGAATAATGAACCGCAAACAATACACAATATTGATGAGCACTAATATGGATATTTGTACTACAAATAATAATTTCTAACAGTAAAAAAGGAAAATGTATTGACCAATACCAAGCTTATTAAATAGGATTGTATGGAAGTCAAACAAAATACCAACAAACTCTTGGCAAAGTTGTTTGGACTACTTACAGCTGGTCCTTAGGCCCACGCCTTCTCTGCCAGCCTTTTCCCCGTCTCAAAGTTCACTGTAAAATCTGCCCTTTGGTGGAGGGCACCTTACAAGGAATGGAAACACTCTGCTATCTTAGCTCACTACAAAGAACTTAGATTTTAAAATAATTTTAGATACTAGGGAGAGAATTAATTTCATTGTTATATACCTGTCATGCCTAAAGTATCACAGACAATGAGGCTTGGAAACATCCAGTTGAAGACTGTCTAGTGAAACAAATGAAAGTTACATTGGTTTAGCTACAGATGAGAACAATTCTCTTCGTTTTACCAGAACAAATACTGCACCGCTAGCAATGGCATCGCTAAAGTCAGTCATTCTGTTTTGGAAAACTTTAAAGTTAAAAAGCAAGTTGTATTTGAAAGTAGTATGCCATCTGTTTAATATTTGCAGCTAATCTGTCTTTTATTAAAGCACTGAAGGAATTCCCTCCCCTGCTCTATTTTTCTCTCAACTTCTACTTGTGCCAAGATGACGAGTAGGTGGATGTACTGGGATGCCTTTTCCAGCTAGCAACCAGCTAGGCAGGGCTTGGTTTCCCCTCAGACAGAGTTTGATTTTGCACACTCAACCACACGTTACCAGGGTGATAAACCAGATCCTCCTGGTTTTATTTCCAGGTCCAACCTTGCTTATCCCTGCAGAAACAAGCAGAAAACGTTTCACCCAATAATTCATTATTGCATAAAAGCTCTGGAAACCTGTCAGTTTACTTTCAAGGGAAGCTAAGCAGGAAAGGAAACAGTTTGACTAGCAAATCTATAAAAGTCATAAAGCAAGCTAGATACTAGCAAGTGTAATCAACTGGAGCGATCTTCTCAAGTCATTGGAAAACAGAGAATTGAACAGAAAATGTGTTAGAGGAAATCCACCTAGTGAACAAGTTTATAAATTACATGCCAATGGCAACTTCAATTAATGTCGCTACAAAACTTAAAATATAGCAAAGCATAGATAAAATGTGGCCATAAAGATTATCAGAAGATTAAAGGAAATTCGTCGGTACAGTAAAAGTGCTGATGTTGAGCAGTTAGCAAGTTGAGACTTAACAAGACACAATAAAGGGGGAAAAAAAACCATTACAAAAACAACAGTGAATCAATATCTCCATAGAAGACACAGACATTGTATTGCTCTAAATTTAAGCTTGCCTCAAATCCAAAAATCTTCATTTTTTAAATGAAACAACCATAACCAACTATAAATTGGGAAAAAGAGTGGTTAAAATTAACCCTTGAAAGTATCATCTCTGAGCACATCACCCTAATTTTCTGCACCACAGCTCACCTCGTGCCAGCTACACCAGTTTCTCACCCCACTGCCAGGCTGAAGCTCTGATGCCACAAGGCCTCGCAGGCCCCACTTTGGCAGCACATTAGAAAACTTCTGAAGGAAGCTATGGCCCCTTCCAGGCTTCCCTAGTCAGCAGTCAAGGTGAGGGAATATGAAAGAGGTTGTTCCAGAGAAGAAAAGAGCAAACAGGGGGGCCCACACGCAAATTTAAACTGCCTCAGTTATGACTCAGTGAATGTGCTTGAAAACACGAGTGGATGAGTTGCAGCTTTCGAGGGTGTGTAGCTGCCTTCTGCGTACATGACACGGAAAGAATCCAGATGTCTTCTAATTCCTGTAGTTATCCCACCTGCATGATGCTCACTGAGATAGTCTCGAACTTGCCAGACTAAATCATTATCACAGCTACCATATCAGAGCTCAGTTTTCACAGCTGTATATTCTGCTCTCACTGTGTTAAGTAGGTGCTGTTATTGTGAGACACACCATAGAAATGATGCTCCCAAGCCCGAAAAATTCTATCTCCTGGCAGGTGATTTCTTTCTGGCACAGTAAATCCTAGATATAATTTCTGGTTTAAAAAGAAAGAAAGAAAAAAACCCACAAACCACCAAACCTCTAAAAAGGGACAAGAGGGTGCCATTAGCATAGGAAGATTATTTTTCATACCAAGAGTAGGAAAAAAAAAAAAAAAAGCAGCATTGCTCCATTCCCTGTTTTTTCTTCCATGATGCTTAAGGTTGTTGCATAGTCACTTTTACCGGATTACTCCATTAATGGAAATGGACATACAGGTTTAGAGACTAAGTACTGGCTATTAAAGCGACCCCAAATGCTGCTTGTCTAGAACTACACAAGCATAGAATTTCTCAAATTATTACAAAATCTGGATCATGAAAGTGCTTAGTGAGAACAGAAAGTAGACCTTAGGTGCCTACACGCCATTTCAGTCAAACAGACCCGACAGATATGTTGCAGAAAGGGCCGAAAGAACAGCACAGCTTGAACACAGGAAACCATGACTGGTAAGTCTATTAAATGTTTACTTAAGCTTCTTCTCAGAAAAGCAGTGTTGAAACAGCAGGAAATTCTGTGTATCCACTGAGTGTAATATATGACAGCAATATCACCTTCAGACACACACACAAGAAGCGTTACATAGAGATTATCTGATCTGCTCAGCCAAAGGCTGATTCAGTAGCATATTTTAGGTTGGTGCTCAGCAATTCCTGATGCCCTATTCAATGACAGGAGTTGGAACGAAGCATTTCAAGAGTTAGAAATTAAACACAAATGCGAGATCAGAGCCAGACAAGCTTATTATAGAGAAATATCATTAGCAATAATGCCAAGATGAAGCTGTGCTTAAAGTGATGCCTGTTAGTGAGATGTACAACTGACTTAGGTTTAAGGATAAGTCTGCTTGCTGCCTGTAAAACAGTTTTCAATTTTAGAAATTTCATTTTCTAATTCTCTGATATTCAAATTTTCATTGAGGATTTCCTGTCACCCCCCAAGTTGCCCTCTCCTGCCCAGTTTGAGATGCCTGTTTTGGTGTTCCTAGGGACTAGGGTTATTGTAGGGTGGTGAGAGGGAAGAGGCAGGACAGGTCACCGCCAGGGCTTTTGCAGGTGATCGTTTTTTCTGGAGTACAGAAAAAACAGGTGGCTGATGCCAGAAGTGCTAGAATTCAGAAGACAGGAGAGAATACAGATATTTTTGAACAACCTGACGACTGTTGTTCTTACTAATGCAGAGTGGAAAATATGATAGAACTTGTTAAATACTCCATATAGTTGAAAATGCATACTAGAAATTGAAAAAACAGGAAATCTGCCTCCAAAAGGATATTTCTTCCTTTTTATGTCATAAATCCAAAATGCAGAAATAGCTAAATACACTGTGACAATGAACCTTCGTGCTCTGTGTCTGTACACAATTCCAGCTAAAAACTCTGCTTGTTTTGTACATACATTCTGGTTTGAAGTTCCATTTTTAAAATGGGTGCATTTATGCATCTGACAATATGACACCTGTGGTTTTTTACATATTCAAAGAAGTGGAATGAAAAAAGTCTTCATCTGTGGCTTAGGGTGTTTTCATATCTTTTTGCAGTTATGTAATAACATCACAAATTAGTATTTCATTATCTACTAAGATAAAATAGGCCAAATATTTTAGCAAATGTTGGGATAAAAAATAACAAGTATAATGGAAAAAAAAGATAATCGATTTTTTGTATACACTAACACCTGAAGTTCAAAAGCACAGCAAGAAACAACTGCAATATAA